TCATGTGCGTCACTAATAGATTGAGTTTTTCAAGATGATAAGTTTAATTTTTATTGGCTTGTATATCTGATCTGGGTCAGGCTGTACTTGTAATGTGGATCTGATCTACATTTCTAAATTAAGCATCTGAACTAAGCCTGATCTGTAATTTTGTACTGGGCCTGATCTTGGCCAAGCCCATCAAGTATGAACATATATATGGTTGAGTGTGTGTACTATAGTTTATGAACCTTCTTTTGAATTCGAGCTCTCTTCACGGTTCTATGTGTGCTTTATCATTTGCTATAGATGCAATTTTGAAAAATTACAAATAGTTTATGAGTAATACTATTTGAACATAAAAATTTGATCTAATTTGTTAATATAATGATATAATTTTAATAAAATCATTGAATCAACACTAAATTTTAATATTTGATAGACTCCATAATCAATTTAAAAATTATAATAAATTAAATCAACAAATTAAATTAATAAATTAAATCTCAATAAGATTACCCATGATTTATTTTTTGTAAGATGAGTTGATGATCTGCCAGGCGAGCCCATTAGTCAACGTTTTAGATGAGGCCTTACATCAAATCATTATCTTGTCAACAGGCTTGTAAGATCATATGTGTGTGGGAGTGTGAATGTTCGCGCACGTGTGCCATTGGACACCCCTCTTCCGGGCTTCTTTTCATTAAGTTAATTTGAGACTTAAAAAGGAAAATATTAAATAAGATTTTGTTTTTATTTTATTGTCAGTATTATTTTTTTAAAAAAATTAATTTATTTTTAATTTAGTTTTTTATTTAAGAAAGAGACAAAAGAATGATATGCTAATGTTATCGAAAAAGATGTTTAAACTTTTACTTCTATTTTTTACCGAAAAAACAGGAAGGGAGTTTAGTTTTAACTTCTTTTTTTCTCTTTTTTTATTTGAGAGAGAGAGAGAGAGAGAGAGAGAGAGGATAAACATGAATTGACTTTTGAAGATTTTTTATTTTTAATTTCTAATTTTTAAGTTTTTAAAATTGTGGGTTGGATCATGGGTCTAAATTATTGTAATAAAAATTTTGATTGAATTTATGTTTTGAGACTTTTTTTATGGCTTAAAATTTAATAAATTTAATTTTTTTATAAACTAATAATGCACTTAAAATTATGAAATATTCTAAAAATTTGAGACTTAAAGCTCAAGCTTTATTTTTTATACTGTTGGACCGACCTGGCTTTATTTTTTCTATAGATGTATTATTCACAAATTATAATAGTTAATTCTCTATTAAATAATTTGAGTTGATAATGAATCAGACCATCCCAAAATGTTTGGTCAACAGGCCAGGCCCAGTCAATATGACCATAAATACTTGGCCCATGACTTGCTCGACGGGTCAACCTTAGTTGGCCCATAGCAGCCTATCAAGTAGGTCGACCTCAAATGGGATTATTTTTCATACTTTTAAAAAAAAAAAATTAGATTTAATATATTTTTTGTTTTTAAAATTTTGTAGGATCACAGATTGCATTGCAGACATCAAACGAGCTAGCTCGTAGTTGAAAAGTAAATCTCTGGTCATTTAGACTAAACCAATGATGGTTAATGAGATCTTATTAACCCACTCATTAGTTTTGATGAATGAGATTCTTAAAAGAACGGGGGATTAAAAATATCACATTTACATATAAAATTTATTGCATTAGTCATTTGAATATCCCTAGATAGTGTTTCTCAAGAAAAAAAATTATTCTCTAATTCTTTTTTATAATTCTGAATGGAAAAGTATTTTAGTTAATACTTTTTTCGGAAAAAAAAATAGGCCTAACAATAAGTTGAGTTATGTCGAGTTAGATTCATATTATGCCTGCCAAAATTTTCTCAACCCATTGTATTGCATCGGATGTTCTTCGTGTCATTTTTTGGTTTGAATTGTGTATTCATCATATTTTGTTGGAACATATATAAGATACAAGCTGAGAAAAAATAAAAAAGTTGGAAAAGTATAGGTATGCTTGGGCTGCCTTTAAAATTTGTATTCTAGTTATCATACTACAAAAATTGAAAATGCACTTGGCAAATTTGTTTCTTAGGTTATGGTTGAATTATCATGTTATTGATTGGAATGAACCAAAAAAGAAGAAAAATAAAAGAAAAAAGAAAAAAACACGGATCATAGTTTTGTAATAAAAAAATATTTTTTGATACCATAGTTCAACTGACAAATAAATATTCAACTAATAAACCTACACCCCTAGGACAACACAACACAACACCAACCAAACCTAGCCTATGATGGGCTAGCCTGTCTTGGTTCTTGGTCTAGAAAATGACTACAATACTGAGTTCGGATTTCAGAATCATATCAAAAGTTATTAGAACACATAGAGCTACAATACAATTCAATCTGATTCAAATCATAACTTTAGTGAAGTAATGGATAAAAATAGTAAATGATCATATTTTATTATAATATTAATTATTGCTCGTACTTGAAGGCATAAAGTAATATTAAAATAAGGTCAATAATAAGCATATTTATATTCACACCAAAAATCAAATCACAAATATAGATGACAGAGATGAAGGTGTGGTGGGGGCGATGAAGGTGCTTCTGAGCGATAGTGTGATAGGTGGTAGCGAATGACAGTGATGGTAATGGTAGTAGGTGTGGTGGGGGTGGGTGACAATGGCTAGCGACGACAAGTGGTTGTAGGTTGTGGTAGTGGGTGGCGATGGGTGTTGACTATAGTAGTGAGATGATAATGGTAATGGTAATAAATATAAGAATAAGATGACAATAGTGGTGAGTGGTAACTGTGGACGACGGTGATAACAATCAGTGATGAGTGACAATGGTGGTGGTGGCGGTGGCGGTGGGGCAATGACAGTTGTGAGGTAGTGGCGGTGGTGGGGGTGGGGTGGCAGTGGGACAGTGACAATGGTGGTGGTAATGGTGATGGTCATGGGCGTGGTGGTGGAGGTGGTAGGGGTGATGATGGGATAGTGGTGGTTGGTGTGGTGGTGATGGTGGGGTGACAGCAGTGGTGGTGACGACGGGCAGTGGTGATGGTGGGGCGGTGGTGATTTTTGTGGCAGAGGTGGTGATAGAGTGACGATGGTAATGGGGATGACGGTGGTGGGGCTTTGGGTGAAGGTGTGGTGGTGGTGGTGGGGTGGGGTGGTGGTGGTGGGGTGGGGTGGTGACAGTGATAATAGTGGTTGCGACAGTGGTAGTGGGGTGGCTGCGACAGCGGTGGTGGTGGTAGTGGTGGTGGGGGTAGTGTGGCGACGATAATGGTGATGGTGGTAGTGGGGTGGTTGGTGTGATGGTGATGGTGGGATGGCAACAGTTGTGGTGAGGGTGGCAATAATGACTACAGTGGTGGTGGTGATTTTTGTGGCAGAGGTGGCGACGATGGTGGTGATGGTAGTAGATATGGTGGTGGGGGGAGGGGTAGTTATGGTGGCGTTGGTGGTGGTAGTGGTAATGGTGGTGAGGTGGTGGTGGTGTGACGGTTCTATATACTATTTTTTTTTAAAAGTACTTATGAGAAGTTATAGAAATTATAAGTTTTACAAACATTTTTAAAAAGTTATCTCAAACACACCCTTAAGGACATATTTTACCTATTAAATTTGGGGTGTTAATATTAGTTATCGGATTAACTTTAAAGTAAAATTTAAAGAGATTTCAAAGCAAAAGTCATTTTATTCTTTTTAAAATTTGAATTGTATGATACTTTATTATATAGATTATCAAATTGTATCATAATTTCACTCTTATTAATATAATTTTTGATATAATACCAAAAAACAATTTTTCTATATTTATTTCCCCTTCATTCTTTACATAGTATACACATGTCACTGGATATTTCATTCTTTACATAGTATACACATGTCACCGGATACTTTCAAAAGAAGGTAACATTATTATTAAAATAGTAGCAATATGTAGTAGGTTCACCAGCGGCCTCTTTGTCAGCTGCCAAAGAAAACTTCAAACGGTTATAATTAGGAAAAACTTACCTTACCAATTTGGTAAAAAAATAATAATAATAAACACAAGTTGTCCCACAAAAACTTCAAGTTACAATTCACTGATACCCAAAAAAATTATATATCTTAATTGTTTTTTTGACCTCAAATCTACCCTAATAAGTTTTATAAATTTGACCTCCAGATCTAATATTTTCTACAGTAGTGAAATTGTTGAAAATGTCAATTACAATTAACAAAACATTATGCAAGTAACTTCAAAGGGTAGCTAATATCAAAAAAACACTTCAAATGGTAGCGCAAGTGGTAGCATAGATGAATTATAAATACAGACGTTTTAAGTTTTAATCTTAACAACTTCTTGAAGTCAGACTATGAGAAATTTTTATCCTTTATAATTTTTTCTAATTCCAACATGAATGACTTACCGAAGAAGTGACGGATTAGTCAAAGTGCGCGTAAGTTAGTCTGAACACCTTTGACCGTTGAACCAAAAAAAAATAATAATATGCAAGTGTGAATGGCTGACGAATTTGATTTGTGAAACTTCAATAAAAAAAAGAATTATGTGGACTGTGTCAAATCCTTAAACTTTATTTTGTCTAAATTTAATCCTTTAACCTTGTAATTAAGTTGTTGCAATGTAACTTCCACTGATATCAAGTAAGCAGTAAAGTAGCTTGACACTCATACAGAATGTTAACTGCAGGAAAAAAAATGGATTGATTTCAAATTATATGTAGAAATACAATGAATTCAATCAACTTCCTTAGACCTTCTAAGTGACCTATGACCATAGCACATGTACACTCATATTAATGGAGCAGTAATAGTAATCTAGGAAATCACCACCCATGTCTTGACGATATAATTTTCTTTCAAAAACCATAAAAAAGAGATAAGTCAGATGGACGTACGTGAAAACACTAATTTTTTGACTTGAACCAGACTTTATTACGATGTGTATATATTATATATTTTTGTTCAGAAATAACTAACCTGACAAGTTGCTGCATATTCAAGATTGAAGAATAGCGTTCTTGATGGAGTACAACTCAGATACAACATCACTAATGTTCATTCGTTCTTGTACGGAGTCTTTTGAACAAGCAACACCAACTCCAAACACCGAAATCAACCACTTGTGCTGATCCTTTTGAATTCTACTACTGAGTCGTTGATGTCTTCTTGTACTATTATTGTTGGCACTACTTTTGATCTCTTCCTCTTTCTCTTCCTCTTCCCTGATCTCCTCAACAAGTATTAAATCCATAATCTCCGCTACTTGGTCAGGCAAGGCTGCCACAACATAGTTATGAAGGTTCAATCCATCTCTAAACATGTTATCAGTAGGCCTCTTCCCTGTAAACATTTCCAACAGAAGGATCCCAAAGCTGTAGACATCGCCCCATGTCGATGCATCACTTCCCATCCCATACTCTGGATTAATTGTACATAACTAATGCAAATCAACTTAAGTTTGTAAAGAATTCATTTAGAGAATGTGACAAATGTGTTAATGCTTCTGCAAATGAATAATGAGGAATCATGAAGATAAGTAAACAACAGACTTAGTCTACGATACTGGAAAATAATCTCTTTTTTATTTTTCATAATTTTTGGCTTTCTATCAAAACCCACCTCTTTGCCAAATCAAAGATTATATATTCCAACATTCAGCATTGAACTAATTAGCAAATAAAATGGTTTTTTGAGCTAAAGTTTCTCTTAAACCTATAAAAGTAGTCATGCATGCATAGAATTTGAATTGCATATATATGCTATTGAAAGAGAAGAAAAAATAAAAGAAAAAGAGGAATGAAGTAGAAAACAAGACATTGTAAGCCCATTACCTGGAGCAGTGTAACCAATTGATCCTCTTACACCTATAGAACTTGTTGACAAGTTTTGGGTGTCTGCTGGAAGGAATCTTGATATTCCAAAATCACCTACGTGGCCAACCAACTCATTGTTTAGAAGAACATTGCTTGGCTTTATATCACGATGAACGATTGGTGTGGGGATACCGTGGTGAAGATAATCCAATGCACAAGCAACATCAATGGCAATGTTTACTCTCTGAAGAAGGTTTAACTTCTTGGGCTCTACATCAGCCAAATCTTCAACTTGATTTGGATGCAGATACCCCTCTAGACTGCCGTTTTCCATGAATTCATAAACCAGAGCTTTAAAATCGTTGCCCCGATAGTCAATACCAGAACATGCAGTTAACACCTTGACAAGATTCCGATGTCTAATACTCCTCAACGTCTCACACTCTGCTATGAAACTCTTGGAAGCTCCATGATGTGTTAGGTTAAGTACCTTCACAGCAATAATTGTTCCATCAGGATCAATAATTCCTTTATACACAGACCCGAAACTACCCATACCGATCAAATTGGTTGAAGAGAACCCATTAGTCGCTTGAAGGAGACTTCGATAAGACACTTTCAAAAGTGAGTTTCCTGCTAAATCTGAAGAAGGGTTTTTGTTGGTTTTTCTAAACCAACATATGAATAGAAAACCCAGCGCAAGAGTTAGTCCTAGAATCCCAGAAACTATAGATATTGTAAGTTTAAAGATAGAAGTCGAGAAGATGTTCTTAGAACGTTTAGATTTGCATTTTGGAAACTGAAATTCTGGTATACCCCCACAAAGTTTAGAGTTTCCACTTAATGAAGTTGCACTTGCATTCTCAAATATGCCTTCTTTAGGTATTGGACCCTCAAAATCATTAAAAGAAAGGTTCAGATATTTTAAGTCAAAGCTAGCAAAGTATTCTGGAATTTTGCCTGACAGATTGTTACCCGAAAGATCTAACTCTTGAATACCTTTCAAAGAACTAAAAGACGAAGGAATGGTCCCTTGAAAAAAATTGCCATCCATATATAGGAATTCCAAACTTTGGCAGCTACCAAGGTTGCTAGAAATTTTACCAGATAACATGTTCTTAGAAACACTTAAAAAACCTAAATTTTTAAGGTTTCCAACTTCATCAACTAATGAACCAGTCAAGTGGTTGTAAGATAAATCCAATGCTATGGATAGCGATGAGATACCCAAAACATGACCAGGTATTGTGCCATTGAAGCTGTTCCTAGAGAGATCAAGTTCTAGCAAGTTTTGGCAATTCCCCATACTTGACGGGATGTTGCCCTGAAGATTGTTTTGATCTAAACGAAGTAGTGATAAAGCAGTTAGATTTCCTAAAGATGATGGAACATTCCCGGATAATTGATTTCCTGATAACGACAAGTGCTGTAGGTTTTGAAACTTTCCAAAGTCTGGGGGAATGTGACCTGTGAATTGGTTGTAAAACATGTCAAGCATTTCCAAGTAGGAAAGATTGGCTATCACACTAGGGATGCTTCCAGATATTTGATTGTTATCTAGTAACATTTGTACAAGCTGAGTTGAGAGATTTCCAATGGATTCAGGCAACACCCCTCCGAAATTGTTTACATTCACTGCCAATGCTGTTAAATTGGTGGCATTGGTCAAAGTGGAGATAAAGCTCAAATCATTTGCTTCTCCACTTCCCAAGTGATTGTAACCGATGGAAAAGTCGCGAAGCTTATAACACTTTCCAAGATGAGGTACTTTTCCAGTGAGTTTGTTAACTTCAAGTATCAGGTGTTCAAGAGTTGACATATTGGACACTGAAATAGGAATTGATCCAGTAAATTGGTTTCCCGCAATGCTAAAGAATCTCAGATGAGGAAGAGTGGTACTGCCTATCAAAGAAGTTAGGTTCCCTTTGATTTGGTTAACCCCAACATCAATCACTGCAATAGAAGAGATGTTGAAGATTTGAGGAGGGATGGTACCAGACAACCTGTTCTGAGATAATGAAATTATTTCTAGTTTTGTAAGTCGTCCAAGTTCTTTTGGGATACTCCCAACGAGATTGTTGGAATACAAATAAAGTAGCAGAAGAGATGACAGGTTCCCAAAAGGAGGGGGGATTATACCTGTCAGATTGTTATTGTTACCGCCGAAGTCTTGCAGTTTAGACATAGAGCCAAGTTCCATAGGGATCTTCCCTACCAACTTATTGAAATGAGCACCGAAGCTAATGACGTTAGAGCAATAAGATATGTTGGCAGGAATCTCACCCCCAAATGAATTAGTCTGAATCCATAAATATTCTAGCCTTTGCAAACGGCCAAGTTCAGGAGGGATGTCACCATGAAAGCTATTGTTTGTCAAAATCAGTATCTTGAGAAAGCTCAAATTTCCAGTGTGGGGGGACATAGTTCCTGACAACTTTTTATGCCCTAGGTCTAGTTCAATGACCCTTTGGTGTTGGCGGCGGCTACATGTCACCCCATACCATTTGCAAAAATGGATGGATTCATTCCATGAGCTCATAGCTCCTAAAGGATCAGCAGTTATTTTGGCCTTAAACGCAATCAATGCTAGCCGATCCGTCGTATTCCCATGACGCACACAACTGCCAACATGAAAAAACCCTAAAACCAAGCACAGCAGGAAACTAGTGTTTACATGAGCCACAAACCAGAAAGATGATTTATTCATTTGGATGTTTGTAAATGCTTGTTGAATTGGAAGCTTTGGGCTTTCTGGCATTGGTTTATCGAGAAAGAAAGTGGCTTAAAGTAACTTAGTAGAAGAATTGTAATGGCTATATATATTTCAGTACTCGTGACTAGACTGGAGAAGCAGGGTGATATTTTCCAGAAAAAAAAAAGAGAAGCAGGTGATTATTTCTTGAGACATCAAGCTAACTTCAATTAAAATAGATTCATGAATGCACCAACTTTATATACATGGTGGGTGCCACCATTAATCACTAATAAAATTAATGTGAAAATCACATATATATACACTAAAGGGTATATCACATTTTAAGACCTTTAAAGTGCACATCAATAATAAATGGTCAAGTTAATCTTAATTTTTTATGACATAATTTTAAGACCCAATAGTGGAGGCGGTAGTCATTAGGCCAACAACTATCCTTTACAAAGTAGTATTTTAAAAAATAATTTTGGATCGTTGAGCTATTCATTGGGTGATACTTGTTTATTTTGAAGCATGTAAAGTTTAGGCGGGGTTGAAAGTTTTGATAGATGGAATTGGAATGAAATGGAATCAAATAATGAATCCACTTAATGCTAAAAAGAAAAAAGTTAGCCTAGTGACCCGACGATATGGTTGACACAATTCATCATTTTTAATACAAAATTGATACATATTTATCATGATTTAAGGTAACTGAATCATAATCATTTGCGAGTTAACTTTAAAGTATATTAATAACAAAAAAATTATAAAAAAAAAAAGAGAAGCAAGGAGAGGACGTAAACCATCCTTAGGTAAAGCCCATTTAGGCAAAAGTTTATTAATAACAAAAAATTTATAAAAAAGAGAGGAAATGACATAAACCTTGCCTCCTTTGCGTAATAGAATAAAATAACTAAAAGAAAATGAAATTAGCAATATAAAGTTGCTTTTTCAAATGTCTTTCATTACTATGTTAAAAAGTTGGGCGTTTCGTATTTTACATTCCAAAAGATATTTTGATTCTCACTTTACACCCCAAAAGATTATGCTTCTCATATTGTACCATAAATATCATAAATTAAATTCAATGTAGTCCTCGGGCTAACATTTGTTTTAAATTCTATTAAAAATTAATGCNTAAATATCATAAATTAAATTCAATATAGCCCTCGGGCTAACATTTGTTTTAAATTCTGTTAAAAATTGATGAACTTGACACCTAAGTGTGTTGCTCTCGAGTAAAAATGTAAACTCATAATTTATATTTTTGGTTAACATATGCAACAATTTTTAACGGAATTTGAAACGGATGTTATGCGAGGGTCACATTGAAACTAATTTATGATATTTGAGGTGCAATATCAAAAAAATAATTTTTCAAAGTGCAAAGTGGAAATCAAGATATGTTTCGAAATATGAAGTACAAAAATTCGTAAAAAGTTTAGTTGAGACCCACCTTCCAATCAAATTCTTTTCATTGTAACGTCTTCTATGCTTATCATCGTCCAGTCTTCCTCCAAAGTCCTCCACAAACATAATAAGATAATAGACGCTTGTCTCCGTCATGTCTCCCACTAAACCACTAAATGCATTGCAACCAACTAGATCTCCTAGCCTTCTATCTCAAAATTTGGAATCTTGCAAAGTGATGGGTCATCCACTTTTTTGTTGGGCAAGTATTGTAGATTAACACTGCTCACAGTTATTTTTCCTGCGTCTCTTCCACTCTACTAAGCAGTATGGTAGAGAAAGGATCTTTTTTTCCTGTGTCTCTTCCACTGTCTCTCTCACTCACTGTGGCCACTGCAGTAATGGTGTACAATTAAAATGAACATTCGCTTGGTCATGTGTGAATCTTCTGTAATAAAGTAAGGCCACTCATGTAATAATGCAATATTTGGGCCATATAGAGTTGACAGAAAGGAGTAGAAAAGAAAAGAGAAAAAAAAAAAAAAGGGAAAGCAATTGCATTGAAAAAATAGGGGCCCACATGCATTCATCAATTGTAAAAAATAAAAAGGAAAACAGCAACTTTCGGTGCCGTGGGGAAGGGGGCTAGGAAAAAGTAGTGCTTTCAAAGAATTAGTAATTTTTTTTTTTTAAAAAAATAAGGGTTGTTTTGTATTTTGCACCGCGAAAAATATCTCAATTTTTACTTTGTACCCAGAAAGATTATTTTTTTTTATTGTACATTGAATGCTATAAATTGGTTCTAATATGACCCTTGTACTAATAATTGTTTCAGATTCTAGTAAAAATTAATGCACATGTCACCTAAAGATTTGAATTGTGAGTTTATATTTTTGCTCAAGAGCAACACACGTGAGTGGCATGTACATCAATTTTTAACAGAATTTGAAACGAATCTTAGTTCAAGGGCCACATTGAAACTAATTTATGATATTCATGGTGTAATGTGGGAAAAAAAAATTTTCGAAGTGCAAAGTGGAAATTAAAATATCTTTCAAGGAAGTACAAAAATTCCAAAAAATAATAGTTAGTTTATACCAACTATTGAAATTTTTTAACCTTCCGGAAAAACTATTGAATTAGGTCCAATAGGATTTCAAAAAACAAAACCCACTCACCAATTTATTTTTGGATTAGGTCCTCATTGAAAAGTTAAATAAATGGACATAACTACTGTCTTTTAAAATTTCAAAAATAACGGTAATGTTATCACGTACTTCAAACACCTATTCTAAAAAATTATGTCATAATAATATACATTTTTTTCCATAAACACAAATCGTCATTATGTATACTAAAAAAATATGACATGTTCTCGATTAACGTACCCATTCACAAGTACATTAAGATACATTTACTAATAATGACTGAATTCACTATATCTCTGAAACAGATACATTGAGATAAGACATCTTTTCGATTAACTACGCAATTAACACCATCATTGCATGACAACATGTACGCAAAACACATATAAATGAACAACAGGTACATAAATAGGTAACTAAATTTTATAACAAGAGTTAAGTATTCATCCTCAACAAAACTAAAAATTGAATATGAAAGGTAATCATGCTCACAAATATTCATGATTACACACAAAAAAAAATGCATTAACAAGCACAACAAATATACAAATAATATATACGTGTTTACATAGGTACACAACATATTATATACGACGAATAATATATGCAATCATTCAGATATATTATACGAAAATATACTTCCACGAGATAGGTACACTAGTATTTAATTGCGAAGAAAGTACATAGACGTCATTACAAGTACACAAGTACATAAAACCAAACATAATTTAAAATTACGTAAATCATAATGAACATATACTTAAACCTACCAACAAATGCTTAAAATTTAATTGTTGTGATCTAATTTGTGTATTTACCAAATCAATACTTAAAATAAACTATCGGTATATTTCAAATTGCTTGGTTCACGAATTTGAAATTCAAACTGACAGACAACACTACAAAATCTTCAATAACAAATGCAAAAAAGAAAACAAACTATATTTTAAGATGAAATCATGTGATGATGGCAAAATGGGTAATAAAAATACACTAACTGCCCAATTACTATACATTCGCGCCCACACAGGGACTGCATGCAATATTTTTGAAAACATGAAGGACCTTTTTATATATTAAAAATTCGGTAGTACTAAAATTAGATTAAATACCTAAGGAGGAACCCTAACCTAATTACCTATATGTTTTTGGTTATGTAATACCTTTAGGCATAGACTATTACTAGTATATCTATATTATATATAAAAAATAAACAAGTTAGAAGAAAAAAAAGCTTGAGAAACATTCCCCCACATTTCCTGATTTGTAGGACTTTGGTTTTTTTATTGCTAAACCAAGGTGTTTTTTCAATCACCATTCAACAGTTGATACCTGTAACCACTTTTTTACTCTCTCATCAAATAACTACCTTTCATTGGTATTTTTTTTAAAAAAATTATTTTTTATCTCTTATAACTTTTCATGAAATTTTAAAATTTTCTATTAATTATTAAAGGTGAATCTCAAAAGAAGAGTGAAGGGTTAGGTTAGATAAACAATAAAATAGAAAGAATTTTAAATTTTGTGCACTGCATGGGAACGATGCTAGAATACCGTAAATAAAATTTCAATACCATATATCCGTATTATTGAATTAATTTTAATACCACCTGTGAATGTGTATTGTTATATAGTCTCTCATATTATTATGTTTTATTATGTTAAATTTCATATGTGCTTGGGTAGATTTCGATATCAGAGTCATCATTCTTATAAAGATAATATCAAATCTTAAACCCTTAGGGGTGGTCCAGTGATTGGGCCTGTCTTTTGGTTATTTAGAAGATTCTGGTTTAATTCCTTCCCATACTCTCTAAGGGCTAGCCACCCTTGTTCTTTTGGGGATATGCTCTAGATTAGCTTAAGCTACGGTGGCTAGCCGTTAAACTCGAAAAAGTAGTCAGCGCAAGTCTAAACACTCTGTAACAAAAATATATATTATCAAATCTTAGAATTAACCTTAAGTCGCATAATCCTTTAACACATAGGTAGGTGAGAAGGCCTTAGATATGTTTCGCGGATATAAATTATTGATACTCTATAGAATTTAATTTAAAATAAGATGAGATCTTTGTTAAGAAATTGGTCTTGTCGTGCCTCATCATCCCAATGTACTTCAAACAACATAATAAACACACATTAATATAATATTACTGATATTGAGAAAATTTTAATATATTGATAGTGTTACTTGGAGGTTTTCACGGATGAATTTTCTGTGTATGGTGACTCATTTGACTTATGTCTGAACATCATTGAAAAAGTCCTCACATGGTGTAAGGAAACTAATCATGTTTTGCATTGAGAGAAATGTCATTTCATGGTGATATAAGAGCTTGCCTAGGTCATAGTGTCTCATCGGAAGAAATCAAAGTTGATAAAGCTAAAATTTATCTAATTGACAATTTTCCACCACCTAAGACAGTAAAAGATGTTAGGTCATTTTTAGGTCATGCTAGGTTTTATAGAAGATTCATAAAAGACTTCAGTTTCATATCTAGACCGATGTGTAATCTTCTATATCACGATACAACATTTGAGTGGAATGATTCTTGCCAAAGGAATTTTGAAAAGCTTTAAGACATGCTGATTTCTGAACCCATCATGAAGCCCCACACTAGTCTTTATCCTTTGAACTCGTGTGTGATGCTAGTGATTATGTTGTAGATACTGTTCTAGGACAACGGAAGGATAAGCGACCATATGTAATATATTATGCGAGCAAGACCTTGAATAATGCATAAATGAACTACTCCACAATGAAAAATGAGTTTCTTACACTAGTATTTGCCTTGGACAAGTTCAGGCCGTATCTAGTTGGGTCATCAATCGTTGTTTTTACTAACCATGTAACCTTGAAGTACTCACTCACGAAAAAGGATGTTAAGTCACACCTTCTTCGATGGACACTCTTACACTAGGAATTTGATTTTATTATTAAAGATAACAAAGAAGTGGAGAATATGGTGACCGACCATCTTTCCAGGCTAAACTATGGCTTAAAAGAGGAACCCTTCCCGATCAAAGAGACTTTCCCTGATGAGCAACTTCTTACCATCTGTGAGGTACCATGGTATGCAGATATTGCCAATTACTTGGCCACAGGTATCATTCCTTCTCACTACACATCCGTTGATAAACAAAATTTTTATATTTCCTTTATACCTTTCTTTAAAAAAAGTTCCATCAATAAAAAATAATAAATGGCAGTAATTAAAGCCTTCAATGTAAATCTTAAGTGACACGAATAATTTATGAAAACGATTAGACTTATGATCACAATCTAAAACTATATGACTTCTAGGGTTGGTACTATTTGCAGCATCAACATATTAACGTAACTGCTGGTATGACAAATTGTGATCTCCAAAAAACATTGCTCTTATTTTCTCAACACTCATCCATGCTTGATCGTAAAAAATTGTTAGACCATAGTCTGAATAAAAATCGCTAACCACTTCAACAGGACGAGTATAACTATATCATCAACAATTAATTCTACAATTAGATTAGAACTCATCTTCTTGTTTTGTGTTGTACAAAGAGGTGCCTCACAAGTGTGTTTGTTTTGTAATTTTCTTATGAAAAAAAAAATCATTTACCTTCTGAACAATAGCATTGACACGCCACCCGTATCTAGTGGTATACTTTGATGCACATTTAGTGATAACCCTCAAATTACAATTCTTAATCTAATTGAATTCAAAACCAATCTTAATCAAGTATTTGTAAAGCGCATTACGAAACTGTGACACACCACTTTCAAACTTTTAACCTTCATATCGTATTTTATTTATCCAGCCAAATGTAAGTAGAACTTTCTCATTGTGAGAACTGAAACGAGGAATCAAATCATCCTCAGAATGAAAAGCAACATCATCTATCTGGACATCTTCAATAAAATCAATATCATCAACAACACGTAACTCATCATCTTGCACAATGACCTTCATATCAGCATACTTAACAGGAATGCAACATACTAAATCAAACATATTTTTCATATCT